GGCACGCTCCCCCGATCCGGCCGCTGCTGAAGCTGACCAGCAGTGGCTGAATCGGGGACGCCTGGGGCAGAGCCGGACTATCAGAAGGGGGGGGCTATGAGGGGTCTGGGGCGGCATCCCCCCCACCCCACCCTAGACCCCTCATAGCCCCCCTTCCGATAGTCCAGCATATCTGATAATCCGGCACCCCCTGGGTCCTAAAAGGTGCCGAATTATCGGAAGTTTACTGTGTTTTGATAGGCACTTCATACTAAAAATCTAAATAATAGTATAGAGTGTTATGTTTAAATCATGTGAGAATTAACTAATGTAACCAGGATGACCACCACCAAAATTAAATTAGGAGTTACGTATTTTCTTTAAAGACAAATGCCAATCCTTTCTTATTTACCCCATGTTACCAAAAAGTAGGCAGAGTGACATTGCTATACATGGTACCTATCAGATGTTTTTGGCCTTGTTTTTGTATCCCTTGTACTCCCCCATTGACCCACTGTTTCTCACTCACTCCTTGCATCATGTCTGAAATTTCAGAGGGGTAGCTGTGTTAGTCTGTAACTGAAAAAAACTTAAAACAGAAAAAGTCCTGTAGCATCTTAGAGACTAACATAAAATGTAGATGGTATCATGAGCTTTCATGGGCACAACTCACTTCTTCAGATGAACAGCGTTAAGAGGTCCAGGGTACAAATAAATAGCAGAGAAAGAGAGGGGGAATGGGGAGGGAAGAGAAGAGGAAAAATATTATCAGCTAGAGTGTACATGCTAAATGAGGCTAATAGAGTGGGCTCTAAGTATTCTAAGTACGTGGTGCTTAACTTTTTACGTCATATGGCTGTGGAATGCAGCGGCCCATCAAAGGTCTTTGTTCAGACTTTGGTTCAAAGTGTCATACTTGTAAATGAAACCAAGATCTGCAGCTTCTCGCTCCAGCTGGTTTTTTAAATTGCTTTGTAATATAGTCATTTTTAGATCCACTAGTGAATGCCCAGGCAAACTGAAATGTTCCTCAACAGGTTTGTGTGTGTTACCATTTCAAATATCTGATGTGTGTCCATTAATCCTTTGTCTTAGAGACTGTCCAGTTTGGCCAATATACATGGCAGAGGGGTATTGCTGGCATTTCATGGCATAGATCACATTGGTGGATGTACAGTTATAGGAGCATCTGATGTGGTGGCCTATGCGGTTAGGTCCTGTGATGATGTCATTTGTATAGATGTGTGGACAGAGTTGGCACCGGAATCGATTGCTGGAGTAGGTTTCTGAATGAGTATGATGGCAGTGTGCCATGGGGTTGCTGGAAAGAATTTGTTTGAGGTTAGGAGGTTGTTTGTAGGCGAGGATTGGCCTCTCCCCCAACACTTGTGAGAGTGAAGGATCATTTTGCAGGAAAGGTTGTAGATCAGTGGTCCCCAACTTTTTGGGGCTGCCGGGCACGGCACCACACATATGCCCGGGGCAGGGGCCGCGCATGCGCCAGGGCACAAGAATGGCTCAGGCCGGCCCTGGTCACTAGGCAGGAGCACATAAATGCCCCGGTGGGCACCGTGTTGGGGACTACTGTTCTAGATTGTTGTTGATGCACTGGAGAGGGTTAAGTTGAGGGCTGTAGGTGATGGCCAGTGATGTTCTGTTTTCTTTGTTGGGCCTATCTTGAAGACTCTGATGCCTGGGTACTCGTCTGGTTCTCTGTCCACACATCTATACAAGCAACATCATCACAGGAGCTAACCACATAAGCCACAGCATCAGAGGCTCATATAACTGCACTTCTACCAATGTGATCTATGCAGCAGGGTACTTAGAATACTTAAGAGATCACCCTGTTAGCCTCATTTAGCAGGGACACACTCATTGACAATATTTTCCCCCATTTTTTCCTTCTCCTTCCCTTCCCCATCCCCTCTCTTTCTCTGCTATTTATTTGTATCCTCCATTTATCTGAAGAAATGGGTAGTGCTCATGAGACCAGCTACATGCTTTGTTAGTCTCTAACGGTACGTCTAGACTACAGGGTTTTGTCGACAGAAGTTTTGTCGACAGATACTGTCGACAAAGAGTGTCTAGACTACATTCAGATCTGTCGACAAAGCAAGCTGCTTTGTCGACATAACTGTGGACGCAAAGGACAGTTTAGATGCAATAACGTCTTCTGTCGACAGAACTGTTGACAAAAGGCGTTATTCCTCGTAAAATAAGGTTTACCAGCGTCGACAAAACTGCTGAGTTCTGTCGACGTTATGTTGACAGAACTCAGCGGTACTGTAGACGCAGATTCAGTTTTGTAGACAAAAATCTACTTTTGTTGACAAAACCCTGTAGTCTAGACACACCCTCTGTGAGCGGGATTAAGACTGCCACATTCTGAGCAAGGCAGTGGTGTGTACTTCAGTGGTGGGGTTTCTGGTTCGGTTTTAGCACAGCTGTAAAGTACAAGAGGATGGATTCTCCCCCCCCCCCCCCCCTTTTTTTTTATAAGGGGCAGA